AAAACTGAATTAAAATTTACTGTGGGATATAAGTAAATCTCACTGAGAAAACATGAAATCTCTGTATCTTTTTACAATCATAACAGAAGCAGCCGTTACCATTCATTTTTAGAAACCAGCTCACATTTTTTTCCTTAACAACATTTTTAAATGTATTGTTCTATTTTTGGGGGTGGGGTGTAATTCTTCTCAATTGTGGTTATAGATACATAAAATGTATCATCTTAGCCATTTTTACATGTACAGCTCAGTAGTATTATGTACATTCAAACTGTGTGTAACCATCGCCCCCCATCCATCTTCATAACTCTTTTTGTCTTGCAAAATTAAATTAAAACTCTGTACCCATTAAACAGAACTCCCCATTCTTCTCTCCCCAGCCTTTGGTAACCACCATTCTATAATATTTTCTGTCTCTATGGGTAGGAACCAACTAACTTGTAAAGGACTCAATGGTGTCTATCATTTTGTGAGGCAGACAGACCTGTGTTACTCTCTGTTGCTTCTAAGCACCTAGCATAGTGCCTTGTACATGTCATGTATTCAATAAATGTTTGCACACTGACTAAGTGAATGAATGATAGTTCCAACTCCTGGTCCGCCCTCAGGTAACCCTAAGTTAAAGACTCAGACATACAGGAAATATAGGTTGGATGAAAAGAGAATATGATTGATGGAGAAGGACACCAGCATTTTGCTGCTCTATTTGTCTCCACCCAAAATTCATTCCACAAATATAAACTGAATGCTTCTATATGATGGAAGTACACTAGAGCCTCAAATACAAAGATGAACACATAGACTGTGCCTCCAATGTGTGCCTTCCCATGATCACTTCATAGCACTGATTACACTCTAGTGTAATCGTGTATGTATCTGCCCTGCCACTATACTGTTAGCTTTGGCCAGGACATTGTCCATCACGTAGTAAGCACTCACTCAATAAATAGTTGGCGAATCATCTAATGGAGACTGTAGCCCACTGTGGGGAAAAAGACACACAATCATACAGAGTCAGGATCCTTAGTTGTACGAAAGAAAAGCTGCTGACTCTTGCCGATATAGCAGAAAAGGATTATATTGAAGATACTGGGTAGCTCTCGGGTGTGTTGGAAGGTGCAGAGATTCAAGACTGGGCCCATGCCTCTAGGAATAATGCACAAAATCACTGCAGAACTAGCCCAGCGAGAAAACTATCACCATTGCAGCTCTCTGTCAATACCACTATTACATCAGAAACTCAATGTTGCAACCACTGAGAAACTAATGTCACTGCTAGTGCTGCCAACAAAGCCAGCCGCCTGGCTATTAGGGCTATTCATACCAGCAAGGAAAGGAGCTCCAAAATGAGCCACTATCCTCTGGTTGCTCATACCTGAATTTAAGTTTGATAGGATGAGCCTGACTGGCAAAGCCTAGGTTATATTCTTAAGCCCAGTTGTAATGGAGGCTGGGAATTTGAGCTCTAAATAAAAGAAAGTAGGCTGGGTACAGTCACTCATGCTTGTAATCCCAACACTTTGAGAGGCCAAGGCAGGCAGATCACTTCTGGTCAGGAGTTCAAAGACAGCCTGGCCAACATGGGGAAACCCCATCTCTACTAAAAATACAAAAGTTAGCAAGGCATGGTGGCACATGCCTGTAGTCCTAGCTACTCAGGAGGCTGAGGCATGAGAATCGCATGACCTTGGGAGGCAGAGGTTGCAGTGAGCTGACATCGTGCCCCCACACTCCATCCTGGGTGACAGAGCAAGATTCTGTCTCAAAATAAAAGGAACTGATTCGTGTGACATGAATCCAGTAGTAATATGCAATAGGCACTAGGCCTAAATATACATTCACTTTTTCATTGTCATGGAACTTGTACTTTTGTAGGAAAGACAAACAATAAACACATAAATGAACATAATGATGGACAGCACTAGATGCCACAAAGAGAAACAGGGTTGTAAACTAGGGTATTCAAGAAGGACTTTCCTCAGATGAGCAGTCTTGAAGGATGTGAGGAAGCAGCAAGTACAGAGTCTCTGGGATGGAAACTGACTTGACATTTCTAAAGTGCTGCAAAGAGGCTGGAGCTGAGAAGTGAAGGAGAGGGTAGAAAAAGAGGTGGAAAGGGCAGCCATGGACCATGTCATGTAGTCCTTGCAGGCCATGGTTTTGGACTCTGTTAAGTGGCAAGGGAATGGCATAATCTGACATATTTTAAAAGAATCACACTGGCTGCCATGTGGAGAATATTTTACAGAGAACAAGGGTAGAGACCCAGCTGATCAATGTATAAGCAGAGGGATCCAATCACTAAAATCCGCCCAGATGGTTGGGGAGATGGGATATGAAGGAAATCTTGAAACAGGTAGTTTCTACTACCCAAAAGAAAAGGTTAGAGGGCATCATGGGCAAAGGGAAGCAGGAGCAAGAACACAGCGGCATGGAAGGCCCCAGCATATGTGGAAAACTTCGAGTGGTCTGGTGAGGTTACAGAGAGGGATTTAGACATGAGGATGGAAAGGAGGAGAGACCTAAACGGCCAAGGGCTGCCCATGCTGTTCTTTTAACTTTTCACATCACCAAAGTAAAATGTTGGTACAGTGATGGGGGCTGAACCTGAGGCACAATTAGGACTACGACTTCCCTGGGAGGCTAGTCCTCCCAACAGAGTTTCCAAGAGAGCAGGAAGGCCACACAGTTCCTTGCTCTTCCCCCTCTCCTCAGACTAGAAAAAACATGGGCAACCCACAGTACTGAGCTGTCAGTATCAAAGCAAAGCTGGGCACACCCACTCACTGTGGTGTGGCAATCAGATAGCAGAGATCTGAAGGTGTCTCCAACAGGTCAGTCTCCAGGAAAAACTGTCCAAGTAAATATGCTGTTTTCCACACTGTCTTAGTCTGTTTCTGCTGCTATAACACAAATACCTTAAATGGGATATTTTATAAACAAATTTATAAACAATAGAAATCTATTTGCCCCAGTTCTGGAGGCTGGGAAGTTGAGAGAGCAAGGCATCAACAGACTTGGTGTCTGGTGAGGGCCCTTTGCCTCATAGATGGCGTCTTCCTGCTGTGCCCTCACAGGGCAGAAGGGTGAAACAAGTTCCCTCAGGCCTCCTTTATAAGGGCATTAATTCCATTCATTAGCAACCAAATCACCTCCCAAAAGCCTCACATCTTCTTTTTTTTTCTTGAGACAAGTTTCACTCTGTCTCCCAGGCTGGAGCGCAGCAGCGTGATCTCGGCTTACTGCAACCTCCACCTCCCGGGTTCAAGCGATTCTCGTGCCTCAGCCTCCCAAGTAGCTGGGATTATAGGCATGTGCCACCACGCCCAGCTAATCTTTTGTATTTTTAGTAGAGGCGGGGTTTCACCATATTGGTCAAGCTGGTCTTCAACTCCTCACCTCAAACGATCTACCCTTCTCAGCTTCCCAAAGTGCTGGGATTACAGGCGTGAGCCACTACACCTGCCCACGTCCCACATATTATTATCATTACCTTGAGGATTAGGTTTCAACACTTGAATGTGGTGGGGATATAAACATCCAGACTTCTGATTCCACCCCAGATTCCCAGGCTGTAAGTACACTCAGCCTTAAAGGAAGTATTAGCTGTGGGTTGGTGAAGAGAATAGAGGAAAACATTCCAGAAGGAAAGAACAATGTATGCAAATGCCAGGAACCATTTCTCCATGGGCAACAAAACCAAGGCTGGAAAGACAGGTTGGGCCTAGATTGTGAAATGCTTGGATAATGGGGTAGTTACCAAACGGTTTATTCCTAAACCAGATTCCCCAGTTAAATACAGTAACCAAAACCGAAATGTGCAGTGCTTGCTTTTTGTCCATGATAGATGCTGGGGAAACATTTGCAGGTTTGCTGATTGAATCCACAGATGGAAGTCTGTAAATTTAGGATAGATTGTCTCAGTTAATCTCTATGACCAGTCAGACTTCGGTAATGATGGATTTGCCTGACACGAGAAAGTTCTACTTCTCATAAGTTTTGAGAACTTAACTGCAATGTGGCCTTTATGAGATGAAATCTGGCTCAGGTGCCAAAGATCTGCAACATTAAGACCTTTGCAGGTGGGAATTCCCTGTGATTTTAGGTTCCCTGGATCCTTCAGTCTTCTACTCCAGCTGAGGGTTCCCACCCAAGCCAGGACTCAGACTTTGTTATTCTCATGCATCAGCCACAGGTCGCTACCTGTCACTTCAGAGTTCTGAGCACAATGAAAATGCAGACTTTACAAGCACTTCAAGTCAAGACAAGTGATTAGCATTGGCACCAAGGGTTTAAGAGGAACTCAGCCAAAAACTGTTCAAAACTAGCCATTTCATCCGAAGTGGGACACCAGGGCCCAAGGAGAGAAGAAGCTGGTTGGATTAATGCATACCCCCGCTTTCCATGACTCTATTGTATTTCAGTGAGAGTTGCTACCAACTCCTGCGGGCGCCCCCACCCGCCCACTCCACTAATCTCTTGTCTTATCCAGAGATACAAGGAACCCGTGGAGAAGATGAGGTACAACTGGGATAAGGAGATCGTAGGTGTTTTACATTTGAATTTAAGCAACAAATCTGTCGAGCTGTTTTTCTGCACTTCCCCCTTGGGCTGGGTCACGGGAGGGGAAAGCTCCAACCGCCCGGGACTCCTTAGAGTGAATCCCATCCCCTCAAGTTCCTCTCCAGAACCTCCCCCTACTCCCGCCCTTGCCCTGCAACTCCTCCCTCTCACTCTGAGTCGCACGCACCCCAGTCCCCTTCCTGCCCGCAAAACTACTCTTCAAAGACTTCCTTCCGGGCACCGCGAAGCCGGCGTGCTCAGCATTCGGAGAGGCAGCGGCGCTCGCCTTCATCCAGGACAACAAAACTGCCATTTCCGAAGAGAAAGGAAACGGCTCGCGGCTTCTGGGGTTCCCAGGCGCGGGCCTGCGAGGGAGGCCGGGAGCCGAGTCGCCACGCCCAGAACCCCGAGCCCGCCCCCGCGCCAGCCAGCCGGGCCCCGCACGCGACGCCCCCTCCAGGTCCCGCTCCTGCGCCGTATTTGGTCATTCGGGGGGCAAGTGGCGGGAGGGGGAGACGTGAGCGGCCGAAGGGGAAGCGGAGCCGGCGCCGGCTGCACAGAGGAGTCGCTCTCGCCGCCGCCACCTCGGCTGGGAACCCACGAGGCCGCCGCATCCTGCCCTCGGAACAATGGGGCTCGGCGCGCGAGGTGCCTGGGCCGCGCTGCTCCTGGGAACGCTGCAGGTGCTAGCGCTGCTAGGGGCCGCCCATGAAAGCGCACCCAAGGCGGGTAAGTGGCCTCGGGGATCGCCAGCCCCGTTCGTGGGACTCAGCGCGCTGCCGAGGCTTGGGTTCCCAAGTTGGGCTCTGGTACAGAAAGTTCCGCGTGTCTCTGGCCGAACGCTCGGGGCGGACCCGGAGGTGACCGGGCGGGGTGGGGGAAACTGAGGCTTGGACCAGTCACCCGCTGGCTCCGGGGCCGCCTGCTGAGGAAATTGCCCGGTGCTTCCCCTCTCGCTTTTTGGAAGCGGCGGCCTCAGGCAGGGACGGGTGCGCATAACCTGTTGAGTTACCACAAGTTGGTTTTTACAGCCTTTCCCTGAAGTTAATGTTTGCCGAGGTTAGAGTTTATCTAAGGCTTCCGTTTGTAAACAAGATTAGCTGAGTTGAAAAATATGTCTACCGAGGCCCGCGGAAACGTCTCCCAGTTAGTTGGGGAGCTTTTCAAGCGTCTCCCCGGCATTTCATGGTCTAATATTATGCAGCATTATCCAGATGACTTAAGGTTCCTCTGACGCTCGAAGTTAGACTTCGGAGCTCTTGGAGCTAGCTGGGAGCCTTTGGGGAGCGCGCCCCGCCCTCGCGGCAGTTGAGGCGGCTGCCCCCTTGGCGGGGCGCTCTCCACCCCTCGTGTGCCATAAACACCCGGCCGCGGCGCGCGGCAGCTGCGCAGCGTTAAGGGCACAGCTGCACGGTCGCCGGTGGCCCGCGTCGTCGCTAGTAAGGTCGTAACAGGACGATGTTGACATTGCTTTTCTGTGTAGGGCGGAATTTGTTTCCTTTTAGGCCGTTGGCCCTTTGGAGACTTTAAACAGCCCTTTTTGGATGAAACCAGGAAGTTGGGATTTGCTGTGTAAATACTGTTCTCCTTGGTCAACTGTTACAGAAGTCAGGTCCCTATGTAATGGTCAGTAAACCAGGATAAGTTAACTTTAAGTGAACCAAGGTTTTCATGGTTTTGAATTCTGTCCATCCACTGTATAGTTAGCCTTAGGTTCGTTTTATCCAGCCAGAGAAAAAGAAGGCAGTTTGTAAATCTGGAAGGTTCAGGCACAACACTTGCTTTTTCTGGAATGATCTAGGTGAATTCATTTTTCTTCGTTTTGCTGAAGTTTTTTTGTTTGCTTAATTGTGCATGTGACACACTGGCTTCGCAGACCTAATTTTGAGATCATTTAAGAAAAGTGGTAAAATCATGTCCATCGTGTATGTTGGTCCTCATTTTAATCAATTATTTCATGAGGTGAGGTCTCCATTTTTAAAAATTTGTTGCTGTGTTTGTGAAGATAAACCTTACTGTTCCAGTGAATTACCGGTTAGAGTAATTGTGAGTGACCATGCTTTCCTTTCTTTTGTCCTCATAACACAGATTTTTTTTTGTCCTATTTTAACACTCATTGTTTGTTCTGTTTATTAACTTAATGTCTTTCTAGAGGTTAGTCCCATTTGGAAAACTTAAAATGCTCTGTAGTAGGAGAGCCCTGAATTCATAAACTAGTATAACCAGCCAGAGGTGGAATCTGTTTCTACAGACTATGATGTCACCTTGCAACTAGACTAAAAGGTAACAATAGAAGATTTCTCAAAAAGCTAGTAACTGTTAATCCAAGTCTTCATATATAGTGAAATCTGTATACAATGTCATTACGGAGTATAGTGATTTTTAGCAATCATACTAAAACTCGTAAGGCTGATTTTTACTGGATACATTTTCTTTGCATCCCACACTATACTAATTTAGGTCCGTAAATCATCCCATTGGATCCTCACAGTATTGTCCCCATTTTATAGATAAGTAAGCTAATTTATGGCAAGTAAAACAATTAATACATGTTTGGTTTCAGATCAGAATCCAAATTTTCAATTAACCATTTCACCACTAAGCCACGTTAGTTGATGATGGCTCTTGAAGTAGATAATGCTTGTATTCCACAGTACTACCATTGCCTAGAATAAAGTGGGAGAAGATAAAAACATTATTGAAATTCTGCTTTTAAAATATTCTTAACAGTCTGCTGCATAGCTTTATAAATATCAGTTGGAGGAGGGAGACTATGAGCACGTTTGCAAATCAGTGAACAGGATTTATTGTAGTATTCCAAAGAATGGCGTTAACATTAACAGGATGGGAGGGGAGGCTATTAGTCATTACTCTTAGTAGCAAGTGACAGAAACCCACCTTGAACAACCTTTGTGGAAAGAAGGGACTTTTTTGACTTGTAACTGAAAAATGCAAGGATTGAGGTGGCTTGAAAATGGCTATATTCAAGGGTTCAAATAAGTTGCCAAGAAATTAAGAAATCATCGTGTAAGAATGAAAATAGCGTGGAAACAAAAACAGGTGTTTGTGTTAGCCCAGTCAAAAGATGATGGTGAGTGGCAATGGAGATAAAAGGGTGGATTCTAGATCTGTTGGGGTTTGGGACTAATGACTTGCGGATGGATTGGAGGGTGGGATGAGGAAGAGAGAAGAATCAAAGGATGACCTCTTGCTTTTGGGGTTGAGCAGCTGGTAATGCAACAATTGGGAAGGTTGGGGGAGGAGCAGGTTTCGAGTAGAAAATCAGTAGTTGCATTTTGGCACTCATATCTGCAGGCTTAGGAATCAAACAATCTGGTCCAATTCTAGTCTCTGCCACTTTCTATCTGGGTGGCCTTCTCTGGGCCTCAGTTCTTGTCTGCAAAACAATACTCCTGTCTAAGAATTGTTGAGAGGGTTAGATGAGCTAATGCACATAACCGTGGCTTGTAGTAAGCACCTAATAATGTTGGCAATTATTTGCTATCTGCTGCTAAATACATCTACATAGTCTATTGACCTTGATCTTTTTCAAGTAAATCTTACATTGTATTCTTTTGTGATAAATAGATGATAGTCCCATCAAGAAGAAGAAATTCTCACAAAGAAGAAATTTGCCCAAGAAGTAAAGATAAATCCTTCAAAGTTACTGTTTTTCTTTGTACTTTGAGGATTTTTTTTTAAGTGTGGGAGAGTTCATCTTTGTGAAAAGGACACAATAATACATTTGCTCTCTTCCTATGTGGTGTACATATTTAATCTTCATTAGACAAAAACTCAAAACGAATAAAGCACTCTGAAAAGTTGCTCAATTGGGACATAGAAATCTCTTACATGTTTTCCAAATCTAAAGGTACTAATTTAAAAATTAAAACTGTACTGAGAAGGCTTGCAGTTAAATAAGAAAATCCTATTTTATCCCTCCATTGTATGAAATTAGGGGTGTTGGTGGGGTGGTGCAAGACCTGGAGATGCCTGTGAGTAGAAAGGGCCTCTCCTGAAATGGTCCCCTCCACTCATAAGAGCAGAGCTGTCAGTGGCAGAAATTGGTCCATCTGTCCCCAATTGTGTGGGTGAATGAATTTTGGCAAAGCTATTGCATTCAGTGGCTGGTACATAGTACGTACTATGTAAGTGTTTGTTACATAAGCTAGATATTTATCTTGAAAAACCTGATAATACAGTCCCTTTTAGTGACAGCTTCAAGATATGTTTCATAACTGCAGGGGCAAAAGTAGAACTTCCTGTGGAATAATCTACCCTCCCGACACCACTACCCCCACTCCCCCTAGGCAGAAAACCACACATTGCCAGTATTCTTAGTTATATGTTCTTTCATAACAGGATATTTCTTTATTTTTACAGCATCTGCAAACATAGAGAATTCTGGGCCTCCACACAACTCCAGTGCTAACTCAACAGGTGAGTTTTAAAAGATTAAAAAAACAAATTTTCATTTGTCTAGGGTACATGAAGTAATAACAGCCAGGGAAGTAGGCGTAAGCTGATTCACTGACCTGTTTTAACCCTGAGTTCTCCACCCATGAATCGCTATGACCTGCCCTAGTGCCCTATAGTAGACATCAGTAAGTGATAGTTCGCTGGATTAGTCTTTCTCAGTCTTGTAAAGATGTGAATAAACTCTAAAACAAAAAGTGTATCAGAATTTCATGTTACAAATTTTTGAAGCACATTTTTAGATGTGGGGGTTTTGTAGTTTGCCTGTAGATATGAAATGTCGGTACAGAAGTCTGCAGGTCTTGCTGATGAAACAAATCACTCTAAACTAGTCAGCCATGGCAGCCTTAATATACCTCTGCTGACTCTAAGGAGACCCTACTTACATTTCACCCATTAGGCAGACTCAACCCAAACACTTGGTGAGGCCCTTACCCTGTGATTTTAGTTTGGGACAAAGCCTTGGGCCTCTGAGTTCACTAGCATGGAAAGATACAAGAACCAGGCTGATGTCATCAATATCAGTAGTAAATCATCAAGGTGTGTTTCTTGTAAACAATTTTTAAGTTATCTTCTCACTACCCTTAATCTTCACAGTTGACTGAGTTGGAAACTAGAAAAAGGTACGCCAATCCTGTCGCTAACTTGTTTACTTTTATTCAGGGAATATTGACTCTAATGAGCTAGCACATTCTAGGTTCTAAGAATACAAAATGGACCAAGCCTTAACTTCTAGGGGTTTTTGCTTTTTGTTTTTTATTTATTGGCAAAATATACATGACATAAAATGTATAACCATTTTTTTCAGTGTAAAGCTCAGTGGCGCTAAGTACATTCATGCTGCTTTGCAACTTGCTGGAGTTTTTATTTCTGTGCAGCATCCCAGTGTTTCACTTAGTTTATGTTCTTGGTTTACTGCTGTTCTTTCTTTCATTATCTCTGCCTTTTCAACTGGTGTCTGGTGGTACATACTCAGGACATACTTTTATTCTAGTTTTAGTAATTATACAGGAAACATTTTCATTGAGAGGAAAAGTCTAGATGGATTACTCCAAAATGTAGTGGTTATCGTTGGGTAGTTGTGAGAGGGTCTTAGTTAAAAAAAATTTGATTATACTATTAGGTACCTTTTCCTTTTGTCCTTTATTGAATCTAATTCTGCACTAAACTTTTAACCTCGGGTAAACAAAGGAGGTAGAAGAAACATAAAGACAGTAGTATTAGCAATAGACACCATTTATTGAATGCATACAACTTACAAGATACTCCTCATACATTTACTAATCTAACCACGGTGAGGGGGGTGTCCTTTCTGGTTTACACATGGGGAAATTGAAACTCAAGAGTGGTTAGGAAATGCCCAAGATCACGTGACACTAAGTGTCACATTCAGGATTTGAAACCTAGTTGTATTCTAAAACCTATGTCTCTTTATCACACTGTCTGAAATGGGTTATGGCCTTACTTTTTAAAAGTGGTTTTCACTGTGAATGATTATTAAAAATCAACTCAGTACTTTGAGGGCAGCTCCAGAGTCAGTGGGATGATTTCAAATGCCCCTTCTAGCACAGGGAAATTTTTTGAGAAGAAAAGCATTGCCTCAAATTTTTCTAGAAGGAGAACAGGTAATACAACTATTAAAAATGTTTTTGCACAATGTGTTATACTTCTCCTAACTGTTGCATTCCTCTTTGTATCTTGAAAACACTTTTGAAACATGTTAAGTTTGTGTATTTTTACGGGATGGATGCTTAACTGTGTTTAGTTACCTAGACCCTTGTTGAAGCTTTGTTTCTTTGAACATACTGTTTACCAATTTATTTGGTGCTATTTATTTAGTGCACTTTCTGTGGCACCATATTTCCTCTCACTAGGAAAATAGCATGTTTGGCAAATTCCATTATGATGTGTATTCCAGGAATGTACTGTCGGAAAAAGCGGAGACTGCCTGCAGTACTACTTAGAATGTTGGGTGTCTATCACTTTTATAGGACTTACCACGTTGGAGTTTCAGAGAATCTTTTTTTCTCTTGTTTTGGTCTCCATCTAAGTTCCTTGAGAGTGAAATCTATGATTTATTCGTTCTGACATCTCACTCTATGCCTGGTGCATAGTAGGTATGCAGAATATGTATATTTTTGGTTGGTTGAACTCAATTGTGGAACGAAATACATATTTTGTAATTGCTGACTTGCCTTGTCAAAACACTATTATATACATTTTGCAGATATGTACTGGTTTGTGCTCCAGTCCTACCCATTATTACAGCTGTTCTCTGTTTATATAGTAACATAGGTACTTAAAGTCAAACAACAGGAATGGAGGTTGCTTTCCAGTGTACCACTCAGTTACATATAACAGTTCTTTTTTATGTCCCCTAATCATTATTTGAAGACAGCTATACTTTTGACATTCTTGTCTGCAGGGACTTGTTTGACACACTTTCATCTTACAGAGAAAATAATTTCCGCTTATTTCATTTGTAGTCAGAGTATTTATATTTTAGATTCTGTGGATGGATGAATTTACACTTTATAGTACAAGGAAGACACATGCCCAGATTATTTTTCATAATGGGTTTGGGCAAGGATGTAAGGAAATGTGGCATGGTCTAGATGGGAGTGCAGATATCATCAGTAACTAGAACAGCAGCTCAGTATCATTCAGGATACAGCTGTCTCCTTGATCACCTAGCATTGATGCTTCCCAACGAAGAGGGATCTGAGAGGATTGGGTTACCATCATCCAATCTGAAGCTCTTTGCTTGGACATAACTCGCACCAACTCCTTTCCAAAGCCGTTTCTCTCTTAATCATGTATGTTCCATCTATTATGATTGCTATTGGTTTGGTTACTCATCCTTGGCATAGTCATTTGGGCCACTCTAGTGGGGTTAGTTTTTTCCATAGCCATAGCAGGGATGGGTAGTTGTGAGAGGGTCTTATTTTAAAAATATTTTATTACACTATTAGGTACCTTTTCTTTTATCCTTTGTTGAATCTAATTCTGCACTACTGAACTTTTAACCACAATTTTGAGCATTTGGACCTGTCTTGCATTTAGATTTCTACAGAAGAAAGCAGTAGAAATGTGGGAACAGCTTATTCTGTATTCCAATTTTTACCTCTAATTGCAACAATGAAAGTCCTACTGAAGTGGAAAGAATTTATCAGATATATAATCCCGTATGTCACACTACCTTCTTCTATTTATTTTAGATAAAATGTTTTATGTGTGAAAAGAATATTAGATGGAAACTTTCTGTGAGTTTGTAAGTCAATCAAAGATAGGAACCAGTTGGCCTGATGGTGATACCGATGATTGATTGATTGATTGATAAAAATGGTGATAGATACAAATAGTGATAGACAGATACACAGAGAGACATAGAGATATCAATACTGGTTTTTCTCTAGAGATTTGATGTAGGAAAGAATTTTTCTAACTAAAGAATTCATAGTACATTTAAAATAACTGCTTCAACTCCTCAGAGAGTTAATTGTTTTCAACTCATGTTTTTGAGATTGCGTCTGAAAATTGCTGGTAATTTTTTTTTATGCTTTAAGTTCTAGGGTACATGTGCACAACATGCAGATTTGTTACATATGTATACATGTGCCATGTTGGTGTGCTGTACCCTTTAACGCATCATTTGCATTAGCTATATCTCCTAATGCTATCCTTCCCCCCTTCCCCCCACCCCACGACAGGCCCAGGTGTGTGATGTTCCCCACCCTGTGTCCAAGTTTCTTATTGTTCAGTTTCCACCTATGAGTGAGAACATGAGGTATTTGGTTTTTCTGTCCTTGGGATAATTTGTTTAGAATGATGGTTTCCAGCTTCAGCCATGTCCCTGCAAAAGACATGAACTCATCCTTTTTTGTAGCTGCATAGTATTCCATGTTGTATATGGGCCACATTTTCTTAATCCAGTCTATCACTGATGGACACAGGAAGGGGAACATCACACACTGGGGCCTGTCGGGGCGGGAGTGGGGAAAGGACAGCATTAGGAGATATACCTAATGTAAATGATGAGTTAATGGGTGCAGCACACCAACATGGCACATGTATACATATGTAACAAACCTGCATGTTGTGCACATGTACCACAGAACTTAAAGTATAATAAAAAAAGACACACGCACATGTATGTTCATTGTGGCAGCGTTCACAATAGCAAAGACTTGGAACCAACCCAAATATCCAAGTGTTCTCATTATTCAGTTCCCACCTCTGAGTGAGAACATGCGGTGTTTGATTTTCTGTCCTTGTGATAGTTTGCTCAGAATGATGGATTCCAGCTTCTTCCTTGTCCCTACAAAGGACATGGACTCATCCTTTTTTATGGCTGCATAGTATTCCATGGTGTATATGTGCCACATTTTCTTAATCCAGTCTTATTGATGGACGTTTAGGTTGGTTTCAAGTCTTTGCTATTGTGAATAGTGCCGCAATAAACATACGTGTGCATGTGTCTTTATAGCAGCATGATTTATAATCCTTTGGGTATATGCCTAGTAATAGGATATCTGGGTCAAATGGTATTTCTAGTTCTAGATCCTTGAGGAATCGCCACACTGTCTTCCACAATGGTTGAACTAGTTTATAGTCCCACCAACAGTGTAAAAGTGTTCCTATTGCTCCACATCCTCTCCAGCAATTGTTGTTTCCTGACTTTTTAATGATCGCCATTCTAACTGGTGTGAGGTTGTATCTCATTGTGGATTTGATTTGCATTTCTCTGATGGCCAGTGATGATGAGCATTTTTTCATGTGTCTGTTGGATGCATAAATGTCTTTTGAGAAGTGTCTGTTCATATCCTTTGCCCACTTTTTGATGGGGTTGTTTGCTTTTTTCCTTGTAAATTTAAGTTCTTTGTAGATTTTGGATATTAGCCCTTTGTCAGATGGGTAGATTGTAAAAATTTTCTCCCATTATGCAGGTTGACTGTTCACTCTGA